GTACCAAGAAGGGCTTATGTTGAGAAGTTAGTATATTTTAAGTTTTTCTTCATGACTTCTGCTACTTTATTTAGATCAGTTTTAGAATAACAGTTTTGGGTTTCAATGTATTTACCTTTCTTTTCTTTTATCCATGTGTTTACTGATTACCAAGAGAGTTTGATAAGATAAGAATATTTCTTGTTTGTGAGAATTAGCCAACTTTTTTTGAGGGGTTAAGAATGTACTCAATAGAATGGAATGCAGACACTCTCTCTACTGGTGCCTTGATTTAATATACTGAAATTATTCAAATTTCTTTGTAATTGCCAATTTCATTGTTGAAGTGGAGTCCCTTAATCTAATGAGGCATTTATTGAGTCATGGCTGCACTATGGCTTTGACAAAGCTACAACCTTTCAGGAATCTTATGGTGATACAAAGATAAGCTAGGACAGAACTGGGACACGAGCCCTGCTTTCAGAGCCTCCCCTGTGTAGTTAGGAAGACCAGGCAGCTATGCAGATGATAACATGCTCAAATCTTAGTTTTCCAAGATGGAGCTTTTTGAAGACTGTACGGCTAGAGGAGCCGGAATACTTCCCAGTGGAACCATCTTTGAAGCTGCTCCTTAGTTCTGTGGGGCAGCATCATCTAAGTGACTTTTATTATTGGTTTTTACAGTGTGTCTGTTCTAGCCTCACTTTGGTTGCAATCCAGTGCTTAAAAATTTATGAAAATTTAAATACTCAAGTATCTGGTTCTACAGAGATACAGAAAAAGTAAGTAAAGAATTTGGCAGAAGCTTGTCCTAACACATTTGCCAAGGGCAGAATAATATTAAAATTGTAGAAGGAAGGTAGATTCCTTTTCAATATTGTGATGTGACAATTCCAATTTGGGGATCCACTCTTTGTTCGAGGCTTAATCAGAAGTAGAGGTGAGCTTTGTCATAGTGTAGCCATGACTCAATAGATACCTTGTTAAGTTAAGGGATTGTAATTCAACAATGAAATTGACAATTACAAAGAAACTTGAATAATTTCAGTATATTAAATCAAGGCACCAGTAGAGAGAGTGTCTGCATTCTGTGCTATTGAGTACATTCTTAAACCCTCAAAGAAAAGAAAAGTTGAAAAAAAAAAAAAAAAAAAGAAAAGAAAAGTTGGCTAATTCTCACAAACATGAAATATTCTTATCTTATCAAACTCTCTTGATAATCAGTAAATTATGTTGTTGCTTGATTTTTATATATCTCTTTTTAAGATAATTTGGTCATTTTCTCTTGAGTATTAGCAAAATATGTTTGCATTTGTATGTATTATTATATTAATATGTTATAAAATTTTGAGTGTAAGCGTTTTCTGATATTGACAAACTTCTATAATGTGGAAATTTTAGGAAATTTTCTGTATTTGTATCATTGAGAGAAATTTACATGTCACAAGAATGGTTGATCTGGTACGTAAATGTACATTTGATGTTGATTCTTCTTGTTAAAATTGCAAAAGAAGATTTGTTTCTGTTGGATATAGATTCCCAGACTACCCTGCAGCACCATGTTTGATAGGTAAACGTTGTTTGGGGCTCCTGTAGTCACTGAGCAGTTTCTACTCCTATCTGAGGCTAACACTTCTCGCTTATGTGCTAGATCATTTCCCTTCATGCTTCTGCAATAATGACACGTCAACTGTTGTCTGTTTTTTCACTGTATAGGTCTTGTACATGAGCAGCTGTGCTGCTCAGTCCATTGCTACACCATATCATGTCTGAAAGACAACTGCACAGGACTCCTTACAGTTCCATAGCTCTTGTATTCTTTCTCTCCCCTCTATTGTGATGTTCTGTGAGCCTCGGAGAAGGTGATCCAGATATCCCAAGTAAATACCTTCCTCCCTCAGGTTGAGGCTTGTCAGATTGTTTGATGTTTGATTTCCCCACAACTATGATGTTTGCAGGCCACTATGACTTCAGTTTCCAAAATATTGTGTTTGCCGAATTCACTAAATCTAATAGCAAGAAGGTAGGGGGTAGCCTTGAACTTGTCGGTATAGGAAACAACTTCCTGAACAGAGAATCAGTGGCTCAGGCGCTAAGGTCATGAATTCATAATTGGGACGTCATGAAACTGAAAAGCTTCTGTAAGTCAAAGGACACCATCATCAGGACAAAACAAGAGCCTACATATTGGAAAAAGATCTTCACTAACCCTATATCCGACAGACGGCTAATATCCAAAATAAATAAAGATCTCAAGAAGTTAAGACACTTGACAATCCAAATAACCCAATTAAAAGATGGGATACAGAGCTAAACATAGAATTCACAATAGAAGAATCTCAAAAGTGGCTGAGAAGCACTTAAAAAAATGTTCAACATCCTTAGTCACCAGGGAAATACAAATCAAAACCTGTCTCAGATTCTACCTTACACTCATCGAAATAGCTAAAACTAAAAACTCAAAAGACAATACATGCTGGCATGGTGTTGGGGCATGGGAAACACTCCCCCCTTCTGGTAGGAGTGCCAACTTGTACAACCACTCTGGAAATCAATTTGGTGGTTTCTCAGAAGATTGGGAATAGTTCTACTTTAAGAACCAGCTATACCAGTCCTGGGCATATACCAAAAAGATGCTCCACCATACCAGAAGGACACATGCTCAACTATGTTCACAGCAGCTTTATTCATAATAGCCAGAAACTCGAAACAACCTAAATGTCTCTCAGCTAAAGAATGGATACTGAAAATGTGGCATATCTACACAGTGGAACGTTAAATCAGCCATTAAAAATAAGGACAACATGAATTTCACAGGCAAATGAATGGAACTAGAAAATATCATCCTGGGTGAGGTAACTCAGACCCAAAAGAGCATGCATCATATGCATTCACTTATATGTGGCTATTACCCATAAAGTACAGGATACCCATGGTACAATCCACAGACCCTAAGAAGCCAAATAACAATGAGAGAGAACATGGGAGGATGGCTGAATCTTTCTCAGAAGGGAAAACAAAATAGATATTGGAGGTTGATGGAAGTAGGGTACTGGGTGGAAGAGGGGATGAGGACAGGAACGAGATAGGTGTGTGCAGGGATCATATGTCGAGAGAACAGGGGAGAGAAGGCAGATGGGCTGGGGTGTGGGGGCAGTATTTAAGATGTGCCAGAGACCTGAGATGAGGAGAGGCCTCAAAGGGTTTAAGGATGTGACTCTAGCTTAGATTTCTAGCAGTGGGGAATATGGATCCTGAAGTGGCTGTTCACTTCCAGTAGCCAGGCAGGACTCCCAGTGGAAGGATAAGGACAGCAACCCACTCTCAGCCTTCTACCCAAAATGTGTCCTGCCTACAAGATGTACAGGGACTAAGAGCAGAATCTGAGGGAATGGCCAACCAATGATTGCCCCAAATTTGGACCCATCTCATAGACAAGAACCAAGCCCCAGCACTGTTAATGATACTTCATTGTGTTTGCAGACAGGAGCGTAGCTCACATAACTCTCCTCTGAGAGGCTCTACCTACCAGCCAATGTAAAGAGATGCAGAGACTCATACCCAAATAGTAGATGGAGTGCAACGTGTCTTATGGAAGAGTTTGGAGAAAGATTGAGGGACCTAAAGAGGACAAGGACTCCACAGGAAGACCAACAGAGTTAACTATCCTGGACCCCTGGAATCTCCTAGAGACTGACTCATCAACCAAAGAGCCAGCAGGGACTGGACCTAGGCCTGCACTTATGTAGCAGATGAGCAGCTTGGTCTTCATGCAGGTCTCCCAATCAACTGCAGCAGGAGCTGTCCCTGAGCCTGTCGCGTAACTCCCTGACTCTGGGTTCCGCACAGCTAAATGGACAGCCTTGACTGGTCTCAGTGGGAGAGGATGTGCCTAGTGCTGCATCCTTGATGTGGAGGGTGGAGGGATGGGGGTTGGGGGGGGCTGACACCCAGAGGGAGGCTTCCCCTTCTTGGAAATGGGGAAAGTACTTACATGAGGGGGTACTAGGAGGATTGGAAGGGCTGATAATGGGCTGTAAAGTGAATAAATAAATTTAATTGGAACAAACAAACAAAACCAAAAAACCGTAATACAACTGAGTCCTCTGAGTTTTTATATTCTTCAAAGGTGTACGGTATTCTGCTCTTCTTTGTGTTTTCTTCTTAAAGATCAAAACAAAAGAGAAGCAAACCCACCCAAGTTTAGATGGTTGTTTATTGCTGTTTTTAACTCTCGCGGAGACAGTTACCAGATCCAGGGAACTGAAATGGAGAGTAATTGGACAAATTACAGGCCCTAAGAGTAAGAGTACAGGGCCAAGGCATACATTTATTCTAGAGGTGTTTTCAAGTTTATGGATTTAAAAGTAATGTTTCATGACTGATCTATAATTTGCTGTTCATTACCACCCCCTTTGTTATGCTTTGTTATCATTGGGATTTCTTTTCCAAATACATTTTTCTCATATTGAGCCAACAGGCACAAAAATAATCCCTAGGAGTCATTCTTGAGTATATAGCTTCCTCCGTTTCTTCTGTTGTTCTGGATTTGTAGTGAGGGTCTTTGCTGAATGCAGCTCAGTACTCATGGACACCCAGATGTGGTAACCTAAGAACATAAGCTTTGCATTGTCCTAACGGGAGTGCAGATGAAGCTTAGAAAGAAGGATCCCACACTTTATCTCTACCGCGTGTCTCAGCTCTTCTTAGGACTGGCCCAGGTTGGCAAGGGCTGTCAGATTGTCACTGTTGTGTGCTTAACATAATGGTGTGTTATTTAGGCATCACTGTATATCTTGGAGAGAATTAATTAGTCAGTTTCATAGCTATGGGATTAAAGATGCAGAGAAAATAAGTAATTTGCCCAGGATCCTATAGGAGCTGGAATTTTTTTTATTTTTATCAAGGGAGCTGATACATGATTTTTATATGATAGTTTAATGATGAGTGTTACTTTTAAAATATGCATTATTCTGGCATTCCCTGGCTTATGTATTGAAATATTGTACCCTGGTTTTCAGTGTATAGTCTTTGCTATGACGTCTGGCCAGATGTGGAATCATATTCGTGGACCTCCATATGCTCATAAGAACCCACACAATGGACAAGTGGTAAGTTTATTTTCTCTCCATCAGTATTATAAGCATCCTTTCATTTTATACTTCTGTTTCATATATGCACACATGTATAAACACATATGCACGCATGTATAAACACATGTATTACTTTACAGTAAGGAACTTTTTGTCATTGACTTCCTAAAATTGTGCCCACTACTGAAAGCACACATGCACTTAGGATATTTGTACAAGTTTGTAAGTTACTGTGACAACAATATGAAATAAACCATGAGAAAAAAATTGAACATATTATACCTAGTGTCCCTAAGTTTAACCTTGAGAAATTAATTTCAATATTGTTAAGAATTCTAACATCATATTAGAGTGTTTAGAAACCTTAAAGAGTGGATTTGAAAAAATTGTAGAATGTATGTATGATTAAATAAGGAGCAGAATTTACATTAGTCATAGCTCCCAAATTCACATGACTAATACATTAGCATAGACACTTCCCCACTCACAGTTTTATATTACATTTCTGAATATTGAAAATATTTGAAAGTGTGCTTTATTTTTCATTCAGATCCGTAGACTTCTCGCAGTTATCACTGTGTACCCATCCTCTTTCTTTGGTTAGTTGTTGGAATAGTTTAGATGGTGCTCACTCTCACTCCTCCTCATAAGTAAATATGTCAGTCTGTAGTCAGTAATAGATACTGCTGTGTTTCTGTAAGCAATACACTTGGCAGGAACAACCCAAGAAGAAAGGTGTACTTTTGCTCACAGTTTGGGGTTATTTCAGTCTGTGAGAACAAGAACATGAGGTGGAAGTTGTTTACACAGTTACAGACAGGGGAGCAGAGGAAGTGGGCTACAGAGCAGGAGGGGCAGGGAAACATCACAGAGGTCCTTGGGACCTAATCTCCCAGTGACCTCTGCATGTTAAAATGTTATAGCCTCTCAGAATACCTCTAAGTGGGGAACAAATGCTCAAAACTTGAATCTGTGGAAGACATCCAACCATAATACTCAGCTTCTCCCATTCAAGGCCTTATGACCTTCTCTAAATACAAAATGCATTTAGTCTAATTCCAAGAGACCTTAGTGACTTAAAACTTCTTATAAAACTTCTTAGACTATTTAGATGTCCTAAGAACAGACATTAAAGGAAATCCCTTAGGTGTGGACCCCAGCCAAATTTAAAAAAAAAAAGAGAGAGAGAGAAAGAGAGGGGAATGTGTTAGAGTAAATACTCCTATTCTGGAGGGAGGGATGGGAGGCTATGACCACTGGAAACCAGCAGATTGACATTAAGTCTGTGCTAGATGCCATCATGTGAACTTGAGTAAGGCTGTCACTCTCACATTGTCATACATTGAGGTCCCAAGGACTCCTGGGATATGATGCTGCTACACTTTGCATGGCCTCATGAGCTTTTCTTAGAAATCTTGATGCAAACCCCCAGACTATAAATCCTTTCCTGCCCATATAGGCAAAACTAACATACAGTATAGACAACACCAACTTTAGTTTCTATGTGGACAAATATCTAGAGTTACTTGGGCTCTGGTTTGAATGTCCTCTGTGCTTGTGCAACCTGACCTGGAAAATCCTTGACTGGGTGAGTGGCTTTGATGAAGGGCAAGCCTGCTGGGTTTTCTTTATGAAGGGAAGTCTTTTAAATGGATTTTTCATTTTATACTCTGCTTTTTTCAGTGAGTGGAGTTTACCCTCACAGTGCTTTTCCTACTGCCCTATTGCAGACAGCACAGTTTCTCATTATTGATGTTACTCTAAAGATTACAGATGCTTTTTTCTCATTTTTTTTTGTGCCTGTAATAATAAATTCATGGATTTCTAATCAAATTCTATGTATTTTACATTTCTCTGCCCCAAAGTTTTGCTCCCATTTTCTTTTCTTATTTTTTAAGTAACCATTCCAAAGCCTGAGCACTGTAAGCTCCAGAAGCCTAAGAGTCACGTGACCAGTATGTGGCTAGGAGTGACCCATCCTGGGACTAGTTTCATTGATCAGTCACTCTTGTGCTGCACAGACCAGTAGTCTAAGAAGCACCTTGTTGTTTTTTAAAATGTCCTCGGCTATTAGTAGATGATGTGGCGAGTTCAGTCTTACTGCTGTGACTAGGTGCTAACATACATTCACCCAAATCAGCAATACTGATACCACTGAGAACGTCACCAGTTGCCATGTGAACTGCTTCCTGTGTCTTAAAGGTGACGATTAGAAACAATATGGATCATGCTCGTACTCCATGGTCCTGGGCTTTTAAACCATAGGTAGGGTTAGGGCATATATGTGTATGACTTGCAGCTGGAATGTATACTAACAGCTCTATGCTTACATCCACTGAACTGTCCACCAGCACAGTACAAGAGGAAACTGTAGGATGAGACAGTGAGGCACGTACAACAAAGCTGCTTTTACATGCAACAGTAAAGACACATCTCTGGAATGTAAAGTGAAGCCAGACAAGTAAATGTATCAGTTGTCAGATTTCATTTATTGGTGTTCAAAACTAATCTGTATGTTAGTCCTCCAGAGAGCAGCTGCTCCCATTCAGGGCAGATGTCATGCAGTCATCAGGTGGCTTCTGCCTGCCTGCTTTAATGTATATGACATTAGTGAGAGTACTCACCCCACCCCCGCTCTGAATGTGTGTGTAAAATATGAAAAGGAAAAAAATATTCCCTTTGCATACCGTACTGTAAGTTTCCTTTGAAAAGCAGAAGCTTTAAGTAAATGATTAACAATATGTTGTTTACAATCCCTGGTACAGTTTTTCCACATTAGAGGCTTTATAAATGAGTTTACTGTAGTAAATCCTAAGAAATATTATGAAAATTAAATGTAAAATTTTCCAGAAATTCTGTTGGAATGGATATAGGTGCTCTGCTCTGATTTGTGCTCATGAACATCTCAGAATGCAGTTGTTATTTCTCATCAGTTTAGGTCTGTTTCTTATTCCATTGGAGTATTTGGACTTCACATGCCATAGTTTGCTGTGTCTTAGCATAGCTCATATTCTCCATGCCTTCATAGGCTGTTGTGTCAGTGACAGAAGGGCAAGCTTGCTCTGCTCACTAAGGCCTGCTCCTGGGCTCCTGATCCCAGCATAAACAGCCAGTGTTGCCACGTAGCACCACTAAGGGATTTAACTGTCATAAACTGAGTGCTCACTGTTAGGTTTTCCACAAATACAAACTTTGGGACCAAAAATACTAGGTGAACATCATCTGGATGTAATGTTTCCTCATTTGTGAAACTTGGCAGGTACCATGAAGGGCTGTATATTCTATTCCACATCAGACTCTCTGTCCTGCCAGACAGCATTTCATGAAAAGATGACCAAACTATAGAGCTCAAGCCGTGCAGACTAGCATGGTTTGTAGAATGATTAGTGTATTTGTGGCTGTTATAACTGCAGCAACAACTCATTATGTCAGATTGCTTAAGGCCAGGTGGCTGCTAAATGTCCGATAATACAAACTGTAGCCACAAGTAGGAGAATTACCCATTCCATATGATGATTGTACACTGAGAAAAGCTCTCCTGTAGGTCTGAGAAAGTCTGATGGTTGACTTTCTAAAAACCAGCTTAGATCTGCCGAGCCGAATTTACCTAAAGAAATGTGCTATTGCTGTCATTAGCCAGAAGCAGTCAGGACCTATTATTAGGGATTTTATCTCTTTAAATCTCTAAATGCATGGAGTGATTTCTCACTGGGAATACTTATATATCAATACTATTATAGTATGTAATGTAAGGAAAAATGCATGTAATTGATAGATGACGTGTCAGCACTGAACTTCTTACTCTGTATTTAATCATGTAAGTTTTTAACTAGACTAAAAAAAGACTGGATAAAACAGGCTTAAAAATAAAATAACGTCTTTCCGCCATCTTGGAGTGTGTGGAGGTCTGCTGGGAACAGGACTTCTAAAAGCAAGTATGTCTGGAAGGCTGTGGTGCAAGGCCACTTTTGCTGGCTACAAGCGAGGTCTCCGAAACCAAAGAGAGCACACGGCTCTTCTTAAAATTGAAGGTGTTTATGCCCGAGATGAAACTGAGTTCTACTTAGGCAAGAGATGTGCTTATGTGTACAAAGCAAAAAACAATACAGTGACTCCTGAAGGCAAACCAAACAAAACCAGAATGATCTGGGGGAAGGTAACTCGGGCCCATGGAAACAGTGGTGTGGTTCCTGCCAAATTCCAAAGCAACCTTCCTGCAAAGGCCATTGGACACAGAATCCATGTGATGCTGTATCCATCCTGGATTTAAACTAATTCAGAGTAAATAAAAAATAAAATAAATAAATAAATAAATAAATAAAATAACATTCTATAATGTTTTGAGTGTTTTATTTCATTTTTAATGCTTTATGCATTAAATGGTATCTTTACTACAGTGTTTTGTTCACATTTTCACATATTGTGAAATAACATATACTTAAAAGTTCTCTTTCACTGTAAATGGATATGAGAAATGAAGAGTCAGTACTGCAGGAGGAGAGCTCTGATTGCGAGTTTGTCTCTCACTATTAAGATACTGTGGAGTCGCAGAAGTCAAGCTCTAATGACCTCTTAACAGCATGAAAGTCCTCACAAAAGCAGTCATTGCTGTGTAGCTAAGAAGAGACTGTACAACTCATGGTCACATGGGAAAGATGCTTTCTGCTGAGAAATAATCATCTCAAAGAAAAACGCATAACATAAAATAAAAATTATACTTAGGTTATGATGCCCACTCAAAACAAATACACCATTCTGTTTCAGTTTTAAATGTCAGTTCTTGCCTGGGATTGGTGGTTGTTGGTTGTACATAATCCAGGGCTTGTCCCTGCTTTGCAAATGAGTTACACTTATTCTGAGTGTGCTGCTCACGTTTACATGTGAGAAGCAATGGTTGTAAAGTGCCGTTGCTGCTGATTGAGGCTGCAGTGACCCGCTGTTCTCTTACATTTTTATATACATCATGTTCATCCCTCAGACTTTACTCACGTGGACCTTTGAGGGTCTTAGAGTGTAAT